CTGAAATGTGGTACGAAAATAAACTTGATTGATTTTTGTGTAATTTTTGCCCCGCTTAACTTAAAAAAGTATGCTATTATTGTTACAGGTTAATTTTCTGAACTACACTAAGATATGAAAATTTGAACCGATGTTGATAGTCGATATTGATCCTGCTGTAGTAGTATTTACCTTTTTTTTAATTCTTGATCAAATTTTTTATTCAATTACTATATTAACTGTCAGATTACTAAAGTAACAGCTGTGGTGCCTATGATCAGTAAAAATAATGTGAGCTAAATGCGTCGTGACTTCATAATTTAAAAACCTTTAACTCGCAGATGTTGCAGGTGAAACTCACATTAACCTCCTCTGCGCCGACAGGTCATGGTTCAACATGGCGAGATAAAGACAGATGAAACGTCTGAAACGAGAACACAGCCAGAAGGGTGAAGAGCGAACCCTGAGCGATGTTAGCTTGTTCCTGACTGAATCAACACTCAGCAATGTTTGATAGGCTCCCTTAAGCAGACAGACTCCTCTGATGCACAGCGCTGCAGAAATATGTTCATACTTATGTTCTTTTTTCGCTTGCAGATGCAGAGATAATGATGCGCACAGAGACACGGATACAAGCAGCGCGTTCTCGGAGAGATCAATCGCAGTGAAAGGTTTCCAAACCAGCTGTATTGACCCGATACAGGAGAACGGGACAAGATGAAGAGCAACAGAACAAAAACAGCAAAAAGATCATCTGACACCAACAACTGATTGGAAGCAGAAACTGTAGAGTGAAATCAGAGGTAATCAGCAAAAAGGAGATATGAGGGAACTTGGAGAGCGCAGAGGTTTGAAGGATGAGGAAACCCGATAACTCCCACTGCTCGGTATCAAGTACCAAGAACCACACACACTTTCACTAAGACAAACACACACGCCGTGTTCCTTAAACCAGCGTGTTCCCTAAACCAGCGTGTTCCCTAAACCAGCGTGTTCCCCAAACCAGCGTGTTCCCTAAACCAGCGTGTTCCCCAAACCAGCGTGTTCCCTAAACCAGCGTGTTCCCCAAACCAGCGTGTTCCCTAAACCAGCGTGTTCCCTAAACCAGCGTGTTCCCTAAACCAGCGTGTTCCCCAAACCAGCGTGTTCCCTAAACCAGCGTGTTCCCCAAACCAGCGTGTTCCCTAAACCAGCGTGTTCCCTAAACCAGCGTGTTCCCTAAACCAGCGTGTTCCCCAAACCAGCGTGTTCCCTAAACCAGCGTGTTCCCCAAACCAGCGTGTTCCCCAAACCAGCGTGTTCCCCAAACCAGCGTGTTCCCTGCCTCAGATGTTTAATTCGTGCAGCCGCCGGTTGGAGGAACATGGGAACGCTTAGCATCGGGTTTGACAGAAGAAAAGGAGAAATGAAAATAGCTACAGCTGGAAAATGTGTCTCACATTTGTTTCGGTTATTACGGCCCAAAATCAGAACTCAGACCCAAACCTTCAGACACACATAGAGAATATTACAAAGTCGGTCTTCTATCAGATGAAGAACATTTCCAGGATTAAAGGACTAATCCAGATCTAGAGAAACTCGTCCACGTGGCTGATTGTTGGGAATAGTTGTGTTTACATTGACCATGAAATTGTCCAAATTGGATTTATGAAAATGAATTAGCTGAATTGAAACATGATGATTTAAAACAAAAATCAAATTTTTGATGAACAGTTTTTGTGTTAGGATCAGGCAGTTTTTCTGCTCTATCGTTATTCGCAAACCTGCAATGGAAACAATTATTATTATCTTTTTTTTTTTTTTGCATCACACATGTTCAATAACAGGATGTTACCACTGGTGGAAAAGACAAAGAAGAAAGAATCTCACACGTGAAAAAACTGATATTAACTGCGTTTATTTAATGAAAACACAGCAGTTGTGTTTTAACATTAGCAGAATATCGTCAAAGTTTTGCGTGTATTTGTAATGGGAACGGAGCTCGGTGGCGGCGGCGGCTGCTCCTGCTGTTGCTGCTGTTCCCACTAAAACCAGGAAGTTAGAGAACATCACCCAGTTCGGGCTCCCTGCAGCTCAGAGAGCAGACGGTAAAATAATGCTAGTTCACAAATCACTGTTGTTGCATCAACCTTCTGGTTAACGTCCATGTCCCCACAATCAGAGAATCAGCATTCAGCGTCTGGGATCCATGAATCCAGAACAAACTTCAAAAAAACTGCAAAACAGCCGAAACACTGAGTTGCTTTAAATCTAGACTAAAAACCACCTGTTTAGAGTTGCCACTTGGAACAATGATCAACATGTTGGTTGGTGGGATTTGACTAAATTCAGTGTTTATTTCCGTTTCACACTGTTTACTGTCTGATGTTTTTAAGGCGCTTCGAGCCGTCATGTTGGATACAAGTAAACTTGACGTGGACTGTCAGATCCGGCCACAAGCAGAATGAGTGACAGTCAGAATCAAAGTTGCAATAAAAACCGAAGGAGAGAAAACAAACACAAATCAACAACAACTCTGGGAATCAGGACCAAAAAGCTCAGAGTGCTGACAGGGTTTGCTTGGAGACTCAGCAGAGGACGGCCAGGGACTGTCTGCAAGCGATTTTCTGTCATATCTCTTTTCCTCTTCATCCCTCACGCCTGCTCTGCAGCTAATCCCCCCTACACACACACACACACACACACACACGCACGCACGCACGCACGCACGCACGCACGCACGCACGCACGCACGCACACACACACACACACGCACCACCTGACCTCGCCTCAGTGGAACTGCCGGGATCAAAAACTATAAAAATCTCCAATTCTGGTTCTTTATAAGACCCGGTTTAATGTAGCATCCTGGCTGATTTGTTTGTCCTCCAAATCAAGAATCCTTTATTTTTCCTCTGTTTTCATGCATCATAAAAGTTGGTTAGGTAACGCTCAGCATCATAAACCCGGGAACTCAGAGGCTCTCGGTTCGAGACGCAGAGACATTAAATTGACAGCAAAAGTCAACTCATGATCAGCAGAAAACCATTTTTTAAAAGGTTGTCTATCATATTTTACCTTAAGAAAACCTCAATGATTTCTCAAAGTGAGTAAGCAATTCTGAAAAATACAATAAAAGCCTTTTCAGCCACAATCAATGATGATAAACTGCCTGCTTTACCAGGTGATGCTCTACCTTTACAGAGATGAATATACGTCAGCTAAATTCAGAATAATTTATCTAACTAACTAGCTTCTCTCCATTATGATAAACAACATAACAAGTTCACCAAACATGGCCGCTTTTCACCAAAAACTATGACACAACCTTAGACTTAACAGAAAAATGACAGAGTGCTCTATCAGGAAGAAAACTCCCAAAGTTTTAACTTTTATTGTTCCCTCTTAAAAAATAAATGCCCATGAATCGCGACACATTTACCCACAATTATCAGCCGTGGATGTAGCTTGTAGTGTTAAACATTTTAGGGCCGAATGACAACAAAGAGTCTTATAAACAGCCTGGTTATGTGGAAAAAAGTGAGACTTGCACAAAAACTACATAAGTAAACTGCAAGTAAACATAGTAAATTCAATGTTCATGTTCTGTGGAAAGTCCATAAATCTGACTTTTCATATCAGATTTATTAAAAAGTAAGAAGTAAAAAAGTAAATGAGAACATTTGGAATTCTCACAAATATTTCTATATGTTAATTAATATGCTATGAATATTGATCTTCTCACCTTGTAAAAGTGTTTGGTGCAAATCCGTGATTAAACGTAGAGCTGCCAATCAAAATGATTAATGGCCGCCATCGCTGCCATCTTTCTTCTTTAACATTCATAAAATAAATTGACAAGTTTGGTTTGGATCCTTGTCTGTTTATGCAGCCGACCCAAGAGCAGCTGATAACCGTTTAAAGTAAAACCAACTGAGCGATATTAGTTTACCAGATGTCTGTTTTCAGTCAGGTTGTTTTAACGACCGTCATGGCGGAGCGGGCCGAGTCGGGCCGAGTCTCGAAGAGAGTGACGTCACGTGCGATGGGTTGATATGGATTGTCCAGAAGAACAAAATGTCCAACGTGAGAAAGGCTTCAGACATCCCATCAGTAACAGGTACTGACAGTCAACCGCCTGCCGGGCGTCGGTGTAATTTAGTGGTATTATTAGTAGGAACCTAGTCAGACAGTTTCTGGATGAAGATTAACTCCAATAATAATAATAATAATAATAATAATAATAATAATAATAATAAATCACTTCCAAAATCCTCAGCCAGCTTTAGAAATTACTTCCTACATGCTGCTATAGGAGACAGTCTGCATGTTTTATCAAGACAATGGTTTTTATTCAGGTCAATGCATGGAAGAACTGCAGCGTCTGGTCTAGTTCAGAAGAGCCTGAAGACAATTTCAGACAATTACATTCACCTCCCCAACCCGCTAGAGACGGCCTGCTTTTCAGAGGAGGGCTCCCAAACATTATACTCAACATATTTACTCAAGTAAAAGTAAGAAGTAGCCCACTGATAAATTATTCAAGGAATTTCTTAGACACTCTCAAAATTTGAACAGAAATTTACCTGGAATAGTTTCCATCCACAGAAAAATGTCCAAGCTTTTTGCCACATGGGCCAAAACTGTGGACTAGAAAAAAAAGGAGCAAATTTCTGCCAGAAACTCAGAAATTGTATACAAAACTTGGACATTTTTTAGAAAAATGTCAACAGTTTTAATTCAGAAATTTCCAATGTTTTTCTAGAAAATTTCTGACATTAATATCAAAATTAAAAAAATAAATAAAAAAAAGACAAATCTTTGACTTTTGGAATTCAGAGTTTTCTTCTTTTTGCTTGAAATTTTCTGAGAATACTTTCAAAATGTCTGAGTTTTCTGACAGAAATGTTCTGGGTGTTTTCCACAACATCGGGTCGGTGTTCCCAAAATATCTCTGATATTTGTGATTCTGTTTTTTTGTTCCAAGCACAAACACGCCTCCCAGTAGCAAAGTCACATGAGAATAAGCACAGTAAACAGAATACATTGAGATTAATGACTTTATTGAATATACTCATCAGTATTCTCATCGATATCCATCATTAGGATCCTCACATGTAGCTCAGCGGGGAGCCGGGTCGTTCTCATGCCTTTTTAAAACAACAGAACCGAAACATGCCGCCAACAGGGTCCAAACTGAAATCCTTCTTTAGTTTTTCGCTTTCGATTGTAGTTTTGTTGATGCATAGCTCGCGTTGGGTTTCTACTGAGAATGTATCGTTTATGTAAATCCCACAGTGTGTGTTTGTGCATGCCTTACATACGTGTGTGTGTGTGACATATTGTGCAACATGAAGTTTGTTCTTTAACACGGATCAGCATCTTGGTGCCAAATGTCTTGGAGGGTGTTAGGAGAAGTGTGCCGGTTCAGGCAGGTTCCTGGACACCTCGGCGCAGCGGCTACGTCTCGAGCTGATTATACCTGAAAGTCAGAGCCAGGAACACAGTGGCAGAGTTCCCAGCATGCCTCTGGACGAGGAGCTACTTACAACCAGCGAGGAGGGAGCGAAGAATCTGCAGTACGGCAAGAAACAAAAAATTACCCCGGCTACAGTTCAGATTGATGCACGGCTATAGTGCACAAGAATAATCTGAATTTCTGTGAGTGTTATCGTTTTAAAAACTGAAGAACTAAAAGCAGCTAAAACACATCAGGTACTGATACTTTATTTCATTCAGTTTAGTCTCTTCTGATTGTATTGGATCAAAAATTTGACTTGTTCTGTTTTGGAAACGTTACATTAATGTGAAAACGTATTTGCTCCCCACATGATGATTTCATTTATTATGGGAAACAATTCGTTCAAACCAACCTGCTCGTAAAATCATAGATTCACATTGACTAGCTTAATTTCAACAGGCCAAACAGACGACTAGAATCAACAAATAACTTAAATACAACCTGAAATATTTATACAAAAAGATTAATAAAGCTACTTCTAAGGCAACATGTACAATTACACAACCACACATCTTTGAAAAGCAGAAGTGGAGCCTCCTTCTCAACAACAAAACGTCTTCCAGAAAAAAATCTGATAGAAACTTCTGTGTTCTGCTGCAATTGGTTGAATATTTAGAAAAAAAAAGAAAACATCAACTCTACAGACAAACATGGTGGTGGCAGAGTCATGGTGTGGGACTGCTTTGCAGCTCGATGATGTGGATAATTTACATAAACTCACGATGTGAAGAAAATCTGAAGCAGAACACCACAAGTGAGTCTGAACAGTTAAAAATAAAGATTCTGAATCGGCCTAGTCAAAGTCCGGAGGTCAAAGATGTAGCTGAATTAAAAACTAGAGGGAGCCAGAATTATTTCACAATGACAGAAAAGAGTTTCCCCAAACACTTATGAGGCTTATTGGGTAATTATTCTTTCACTTTGGTTGGTTTGGGTGAATTAAACATTTGGAAAACATTTGAATTTCACTGAGATTAAATTTTATCTAAAATACTTGAGATTTGAAATCATCTGTGGGAGCAAATACTTTGTAACGGGACTGATGGAGCCTCAGTCTTGTTCTCATCCTGACTAGCATCGTTCATTTTGTTCCTCGCCGATTTCCGCCATTTTGTGCCAACAAGCGAATTGTTTTGGATCCATTTACTTAATTATTGAGACAAAGTTTTGACATTTTGTCACAATGAATTTCTATTTTTTTCAGATTTTATTTTTACATCCTTGCTTGTTGCTCTTGGCTTGGGAAGGGAAAAACCGTTAGCGCTTTAAGCTGCTAATAATTCAACAGATTGGATCGGCTCTTGCTTTACAGAAGCATTTCCCCTCATCAATCTCTGTTTCCCACTTTCATTCTGAACACTTTCCCAGCTTGGAATCAGCCGTTGGGGGGAAACTCCAATTTGAGCTCCATCTTTTCCGCTTCCTGCTGAAACACAGGAGCGCAGCGTCTCCCCCCAACTGTGAAATAACCAGTTGTGCTTCGGCCGTCTCTCCGTGGCCGGTCAACACGCTCAGACGCTTCCTGGAGGATTCTGCAATCCCCGGCGGCCCGACCGTCCGCGTCCAGGAGAACTGATCGATACCATCCAATCAGCAGGCAGCTCTGTGTCTGTGCTGTACAAGCGACGAATGAAATCCCATTAAATGCGGCGGAGACCCACTTCCTGGAGACCAGGGTTTTGCCACTTGCACCAAAAATGTAGATTCAAACTTTTTCACCAAGAAAAGATAAAAACAACCTAAAATTAAGCAAATAAATTGCCAAGATATTTATTGTGGGTCCAAATTGTGAAAAGAATTCTTATTATGTTGGTCTAGTTTCTAGTGCAAATATCTAGCAAGTGTCTCTTCAGCAAGAAATATGAGCCGTCATGTCAATAATTATTAATATTGATAAAAAAGAAAGTTTTAGTTTCACTGCCAGATTATTTCACGTTTGAAAATAAATTTTTCTGCAAGTTAAATAAGCTGCCAGTGAAATTAGAACTTTTTTATATATATTTAGGAATTATTCACTTAAAACAAGCTATTATGTCTTGATGAAAAGTCACTTTAAGTTAGTTTTGTCTTGTTTCAAGTGTTCAGAGATATTTGGACTAGAAACTAGACCAGAAATAAACAGAAAGGTTTTTGCAGTGCAGGTCGAGAAACTAAGAAATTTTCAGATTTATCTCAGAAAATTAGGAAACTTTTTAGAAAAATGTTAATAAAATTTTCAGCAGTTGAAATTCAGAAATTTCCAAGTTAATTTCTGACAATTTAAACGTTTTTGTTGGTTTTTTTTTTTTGCTTCCAAATCTTCAGCCTTCGAAGCTCAGAAATGTCCTTATTGTTTCCAGAAACAATAAGGACATTTGTACAATATGCTGTGGTAAATTTTGCTATACAAATGGAAACATGTAGTTTTTAGATTCTTTTGGGCTCAATTGATTAAATTTATCTTCAATAGTGACAACAAGGTTTAGGTTACCTTTCTTTAAAAACCCTCAAAACTTAAGAAAAATAAAAGCGGATTTGGTGCAGCCAAGTTGGCTTTTCAGTAAAAGTCTCTTGGTTTTGCTAAATTTTGTTATAAAAAGATGAATACTTTGTGTTGTACTTCACATTTTCCTGTATAAGTAAATTATATTGGCGGCCATTTTTAACCTGGTTCCAAATGAAAACTTTTCCATCTGGACAGAAACAGCTCAGGCTACATCAGCGTCTGGTAAATATCAGCTGACGCCGTTATAGTGGCGGCTAAACGTTGTATTTACACATTTAGAGGAGAAGAAGTCAACAGTTCAGCTTCATTACAGACACGTGTGCTTCTATATGCAGTTTAAATGCCTATAATATCAACAGTGAGTGGCCATAATTCACATTTACAGCTGAGGTTTAAGTCACTGATCACACTTGAATGACGCTCCGCCTCGCAAAGGTTTTCTCTCGGCGTTTTGTCCAGTCGCAGCTGAAAGGTTCGGAGTTTCAGGTTTTAAACCAAAACAAAGTAAAGCAGAAAAACTGTGGAGGGAAATGATAGTTTGACCAAATCCTACCAAGAATATCTCTAGTTTCTAGAACTTGAATTACGCTTGTTTTAAGTCAATAAGTCTTGACTACTAGATCCATTTAAAAAATGTGCAGAAACGAGTTAGTTTGACTTTTTTCAGGTAAGATATTTGCACTTGAACTAGACCAAAATATCTTGGTAGGATTTTGTGTTTTTGCAGTGTAATAAGCCCCTTTTAGTCTGCACTGAAAAAACACAAAATCTTAACTTTGAGGAGTTTTATTTCAGTCAATAATTCCCTAACACTGATTAAAAGAATTACTAGTGGATTATTTAACTAATAACAAGACATTTTCATTGTGTTATAAGTTAAATAATCTGCCAATGAAACTATAACTTTTAAAAAAAAATCAAAATTAAGAAATTATTGACTGAAATAAAACTCCCCTTTCTTGCTGAAAAGTCTCTTGTAACTTACAAGAAAGTTTTGTCTGAGTGCAAATATAGAAATTAAACAAAAATACCTGGTGAGACTTAATGTTTTTGCAGTGGAGGGCCAGAGCAAATTTCAGCCCAAAAATTTTAAATTCTTTCTAGAAAACTTGAAATCCTGGAGGTTTATTCACTGGAAGTGAAATAATCCATCAGCTAGAACTTTTTATAAATCAATATTAATTACTGGAATTAATATTCATCCAATAATTAATATTCATCCAATAATTGATATTCATCCAGGAATTACAGACTGAAAACAAGCTCTGATGCGTTTCTGAAAAGTCATTTTTAGGTTAGATATTTGACCTAGAAACTAAAAGTCAATTATTTGAATTCCTTTCTTAGACCGGAACCCAATTCCTCCATTATTATTATTATTATTGTTATTATTATTATTATTATTATTAGGGTTAATCCTAACCCTAAATAGCAACTATATGTTGCTATTTGACCTAGCAACATTTGAGTTTGTAGATGTACACCACACTTTCCAGATTTTTATGTTTCATTTTGGCTCTCGTGGCTTTTACTTTTCAGACGTTTATTTGTAAATAAAAACGTTCCTCCCACTTCGTGCGGCTGAATCCGAACATTTCAGCTGTTAAAAACGACAAAACAACAAAGTTCAAACGCTTTTGTGAGGCGCCGAATATTTGGTTTTAACGAGTAACAAATAACAGCAGGACGAGCTTCGGCTCACAGCACGTCTACACTTTCTGCAGATAACTTTTCTAAAAATAGCCGAGATAGAAAAGCAGACAAAGCAACGCGAGGCGGAGGAAATGAAAAAGCGGCTCCTCTTTTGTCATTTCTATCGTCTTTTCTTCTTGTCCTCTCCTCATTAGAGTGAAGGATCTCAACTCAAAACATTTCCTCGTTCCCAGAAACGCTTCTCCTTTTTTCCTTCCCATCCACAAATTAATTCAACTCCCAGAATCCTTTTGGGGACAGCCAGCGAATTTCCTTTCTGCACTTTCATCTCTCTGGAACTGTTTTCCCTCCTGGATCAGAGGTGTCCAAACTTTTCGCCACGTGGGCAGAAACTGTAGAATCAAAAGTGAAATAAACTAAAGACAAGCAAAGGAAGTACAGATGTGTGTTATAGATCTAAAACAAGAAGGAAGTTTCTAATAAGGTGTATTAAAAAAATTTCTGATAGAATTTCTGAAAATGTTCTGAATTTTTGTAGAACGATTTTGACAATTGAAATTTCCTCATTTTCTTTCTTTTTTTTTCTTCTGACATTAATGTCAAAATTTCAAAAAAAAATTCTGGAGCTCAGAAATTTCCTTAATTTCTGTAGAAAATTTCTGCGAGTGCTCAGGAATTTGTTCGTGTTTTTGTACGTTTACTGCTTTAAAAGAAATACAACTAGTTTTCTATTTCTTTTGGGCTCAACTGAATAAATTAATTTCAGTAATAAGAACGGGATTAGTAACCGAACATTGTACTCAAGTAAAAGGAAAAAGTAACTGTCCAAAAAGTTACTCAAGTACTGAGTAACTGATCTGATGATCAAACATTTAATACTTAAAAACTTCATAATCAGATGAACCAAAATAAAAAGGTAAGCGGAAAGGTTCATATTCTAAGAATGAAAATTAAAATAACTTGGATTAGTAACAAGTAACAAAATCAAGCAAAATAAATTTTCCCAAATCGGTTTCTTTTAATGAAAAACGTACAAACTAACAAAAACTGCAGGTTTGTCTCTGATTCTGTTGATTTTTTGGTTAAAACGTTTGTTTTTCATTCAGTGGGTAGAAAAAACAGAAATTTTATTCAAATAAAAGTAAAATGCGCAGCGTCGTAAAAAGACTCCTAAATGTGCCTTTTTTCAAAAAACGTATTCAAGTAAACGTAAATAGTTATCACACAACTTTCAAAAGTTAAACTTTATTTTGCCAAATTAGTGCATCAAATTTCTCTTTCCAGTAAAAGTTTCTTGATTTTCAAAGTTTGTTGTACTTCCAGAAAATTATGTTTCCGATCATTTTTACAAATCAAAAGTCTGAGGATCAAACCTGCATCGTTTTTGGTTTGCCGTTTGGACACCCCTGACCTTAGTGACCCGGTCCGTTTTTTACACCAGAACCTGTTTTTCCAGCCCTGTGGTCCAGAACCCAGATGCAGTGAAAAGCATAGAGAGACATGGACACTTCACCACGCTTCATCTAACACTTTGTGACGGGCCATTTCACAGAATGACACACAGAGACCGGAGCACAAACATGGCGGCGGCGGCGGCAGAGTGAAACGCGCCGCTCTCCGAGGATGAAGAGGAAGAGGAGGGCGCAGCAGAAGAGGAAGAAACTGGAGCCGCAGACGGACACAGGGAGGAGATGCGCTGAAATTATTGTGCAGCTACAAAGTAAACGGTGCAAAACCTTCCTTCATAAATGTTCCTTCACGAATCAAGTGTGCAAATCTCTGCAGTCTGAGAATCTCAGTCAAGCTTGAAGGAAGTTGAAGCACTGGACTGGAAACGGCCCAAAAGAGACGGGAGGACGTCAGCAGGGGGCAACGTTCAGGAACACACGGAGAAAAAACAGAAAACGAGAGTTCTTCTAATCCAGGTCTGTGTGGAGAAAACCTGCGAGGCGAGGAGCTTCGACTGGAGGAAGTTCTGGGTGGATGTGAGGAGGAGGAGAGGCGGCGAGCGTCCGGCCCGATCCGGCCCGATCCGGCCCGATCCGGCCGTCTACGGCGAGGACGGAGAGCACTCCAGAGACGCTGCGGAGAAACGGAGCAGATGGAAAACGTTACCAAATCATAGAAATAGGACAGGACGGCGTGAAATGAGAGGGAAATATGATACAGCTGGAGAAACCGGGATGAAAACACAGCAGAACCAGAGCAGAACCACTCCAACATACTGTTACCACGGCAACGGCAGTGAACCATTACTCAAAAGGTAGAAGTACAGAGGAACTGATCGATCAGTTAACTGATCAATCAGTTAACTGATCAATCAGTTAACTGATTGATCAACTCATTAATTTAATGTTTAAAAAATTTAAATATGAAATATATTTTTTAAATTTTATATTTAATTTTTATAAAATTTAATATTTAAACATTTTAAAATGTTTAAATTTTAAAATGTATTAGTATTTCAAAATGCTAAAATATTTAAATATATTTTAAATATTAGAAATATTTAAATATTCCTAATATTTAATATTTCCATATTTTTTACATTTATTAAATATCCAAAAAGATACATTTTTATGAGGTTTTCAAAACTTATCAATTTGAATTAATATTTAAATGTGCCAAAGCATAAAGTTACCTGGAAATGTTGGTATTTTAACTTCCAAAATGGGAATAATTCATATGAATAATTACAAAATTACGCTGGAGGATGCATGAAATAAAATTACAGGAATAAAACGAGAATTATTGAGAATAAAGTTGTGACGAAGTCAAAATATGAGAATATTCTCATATTATTTTAGCTTTTGTCTCATAATATGAATATTCTCATAGTTTTATGTTTTCATTCTCATTACTTTGACTTTATTCTAGTAAAACTAAAACTTTATTATTGCACAACTTTATTCCGTTATGAACATTTTGTTTTCTTAGTGTGGCCCTAATACTCTGTCGTACTTACAAAACTAAATCAGACATAAGAAACATGAATAAAAATCAGTTTTCTGAAACTTAATAAAAACTGCAGGTTTGTGTCTGTTTATGGTAAATCTTTGGTAAAAAAAATGTTTTTCATTCGGTAGATGGAAAATTCAAAAAAGTAAGATAATCCTCAAAAGTACATTTATTCAAAAAAGTAACGAAACTGAGTAAGAGATCCTGATGACAGAGGGAGAGGAAAACCTGCACAGTGAAACCAAACGAAGTGAGAAAAGAAATTAAGAAGTTGAGATCAAATGGAAAAGAAAAGAGAAAAATGGCTGAGATAACAAGCAGTGAGTCACAAAAATGGATCTGGAGGGAGGTCGGGATTAGAAAAATAGAAGTGAGAGCGGGGAGATAAGAGCGACGCGATGAGAGGGAGGAAGAGGGGAAACGGGGGAGGCAAATGAAAAGAGGAGACATAATTATAAAACGGCAAAAGAAAATCATTGCAGAGGGCGTCGCTGCGCTTTCGGGCGCAGAGGAGACGGAGAGTGGCGGCGTGTCCGTCAAACGCGTCACACACAAAAACAGGAGCTCTTCAGGTGCAGAGCGAAGACAACAGGCTGAGAGACGGTGACAGGTTTCTGTGAGGACAGAGCCGCGCCTGTTGGTGCGTTTAGAGGAGGATGGGATTCCTCTGACGTCTTAATAAGAGCTCCAATCCCACAAGCAGCAAATTAAAGCTAAGTTTCCACTATATTGGTCACTCAGAGTCCCGACGAAAAACAATAAAACTTGATTTTCTTCAGCTCATCTTTTCTCTGCTGATGCTGAGAACACTGCAAAAACACAAAACCAAACCAAGTAGTTTTTAGTGCAAATATCTCAGTGCAGCTGAAGTTAGACAAAGTAACTTTTCAGAAATAAGAGCTAGTTTTAAGTCAATATTTCCTTAACATTGATTTAATCATTGGCAGATTATTTCACTTGTTAGAAATTTTTCTAAAAACAACATTTCTGAAGTTCAAATGCTGAAAATTTTCTTAAGAAAAATGTTCTTAGATTTCTACATTTTTTAAAAATTCTCAGTTTCTGGTAGAATTTTTTTATTCTTATCTACAATGGAAAAACAAAATTGTACCAAGTTTTTTTGGGAAAGTTTCTGGTGCAAATATCTTAGTAACTTAAATAAGACTAAACTAAACTACAAGTAACTTTAGCAAAAAGTAGAAGCCTGATTTCTCCTTAACATTGACAAGAAAAACCCTCTGGTTTCACTAGCAGATTATTTCATTTACAACACAGAAAAAATTTATTTTAAAAAGTGAAATAATCTACCAAAGGTACTTGAACTCTTTTCATCAATATTAAGGAATTATTTACTGAAATCAAACTCCTATATTTTGATAAAATGTTACATGTAAGTTGGTTTGTTTTATTTCAAGTGCACTAAGATATATGAACTCGAAACGAGACCAAAGATACTTGGTTCGGTTTTGTGTTTTTGCAGTGTAGGTGATGAAAACTCAACCATTTCTTCATCCTCATCATCGACTAACCCTGCGAAGCGTCAACACGGCTCAGCTGAAAAGCATGTAAACACAATGCCAGCCAACACACACCCTCACACACACTCCTGTTTAACTGAATTAGTGCTCGGGACCACACACACACACACACACACACACACACACACACACACACACACACAGATCGGAGGAGTGGAAATCATAACAGTCGTAGGAGGTCGTGGACAAGCTGTCAGCGTATTTAGAGTCTCTTTAAATCCCCTCCTCGCTCTGAGCTCCTCACAAAAAGTAAAAGTCTTTATTTCAGCTGCAGCCTGAGTTAATGCAACAAATAAAATAATAAGATATTTTCCTGTGTGACATTTTAAACTTATGCATTAACTTTAACATGCATGCACATTCATTGTTTTAAAGGCAGCTAATGTTAGCTAGAAAATGTTAGTTTTGTTTAGAGGCGGCAGCGCTAAATAAAGCTAACGTCTCAACAGGAACTTTTACTATGAAACAAAATGGCATTAAATAATCTGTGTATTAAATAATCTATATCTAATATTCTTCTGAGCTGAATAGCTAATTTACTTTTAGGTGAAAAGGTGGCAGACGGCATAAATTTACACTTTTTTCTGCTCCTTTTTTTAGTAGTTACATAAACTACTCATTTTTCCTACCCAATGGTTCAGTAACAGATAAGAAAATTAAGAATAAAATGAAATCTTTAGTGACGCAGCTGGGAATAAATGGGATTAACTTTGAGTATTTATTGTAAAAAGCAAAGAGGAGCATGACGACGACTTTAAAAACTGTTTGTTTCATAATAAACATTACAAACTCACAAAAAGAGGTTTTGATCTACTAAATAAATATCTGTATACGAGAATAAATAAGAGCAACCACAATAAAATAAAAGCTATTTGAGTCTTTTGTATAATTTACTCCGTTTATTAAAAGCCCAAAATCGATATGGCTTTGAGATCCAAACACCTGATTTCACATTTGACTTATTTTATTACAAACAAACATTTTCTCCTTCATCCTCTCAGCACCACTAATGTAAAGTTTTTAATTTGAAACATTGATTCTCAGACGATCAAAGGAAATAAATTAAAAGTTAAGTTCTTTACACCTTGCATGTTTGAGCTGCAGCTGCTCCAGCTGTCAAGGACATAAAAAAGGGCAGAGTGCTCCGCCAATCTGTTCCTCCACATAATAACTATAATCTGCCCAACTGAAATTAAACAGACCAGCCTGTGGAGGCTTCTCTGGCCTAATTATGATGTGTGTGTTTGCCAGTTGCAAAATCTGACAGAAAAATTACAATCCTGCTTCTGTTGTGTGCGATCGAGGAAGCTCTGGTTATTAAACAAAGAAATTATAAAGCCTACCCTCACATTTACGTCTGGGAGGGAGAGGAAGGTGACTGGTGGAGGTGTTGATCTGTTATCAATTCCCCATGTCACACACACACACACACAAACACACACCCACACACACACACACACACCCCCACACACACACACACACACACACACACACACACACACACACACACACACACACACACACACACACCAGGTTTCCTCCTTTATTTTCCAACAACTCGTTTTTTCCCCAGTACGATTGTTCCCTTCTTCCTCCTACCAGGCGTCACTTGAGGTTTCAGCTTCCTCTTCGCTCCATGCATTTGTAATCAGGGATTTCTTGGCTTAATCAAAGCCCACCTTGGCGTGCAGCTACACCTATCTCCTCTCTGCTGGGCTGGAAATCACTCTGTGTGAGATTTTCCTTGATTTCTTTCAATTTTGTAATCAAAAACTCAAACTTCAGAGTGGTTTGGATCAATATTTATCTTGCAAAGGACTTTTCAGGCGTCCATTTTTTCCTGATTGTTCTACTTTCTAAAACGCAACACTGTCAAACTCGAGGCCCGTGGGCCAAATCCGGCCCGTCACAGCTTTTTACGTGGTTCTGTAGAGTCTAAACACTGTGTGCTTAAATATTATGTTATCAATTAAATCAATTCAGTCCCTCCAGAACGAGACCAAAAAATCCTGGAGGAACTGAAAAGACGTTCATCACTATTTAGTTTTAAGAATTGATTGATATTTCCAGAGTTTGTGAACTGGTTTTATCAGTACATTCTGGAACAACCGGCCCTTTAAGAGCATTCAGGATTTTGATTTGGCCCAAAACGAAAATGAGTTTGACACAAAGAATAAAAAAATCAGGCAAATATAGACAATATTTAGTCTGTATTTATCTTCCTCCCCCAAATAATACATTGATTTATTATTAATGACATTATTATTATGACCTCTCCACACTAATATCATTCAGATCACATAATTATTTACACACTGTCTCACAAATTAGTGAATAGTAATATTCACTAATGAATACAAAATATTTTCTGTTTGCTCGTATTGTGTTTGTAAAAGAATTTTTAAAAATTAGCCAAGAAAAACTGAAATAAACTGAAACTGCTGATCTTCCTCAGCAGTACCATTATAAAAGTTCTCAAAAATGGCTGCCTGGGAAGAGAAGCATTAAAACATTTTACAGCTCTGCAGTTGCACCGATTCTGTCCCTCCAGTACCAATTATACACTGTATCAATTCTCCAGCAGAG